ATTAGAATCAGAAGCAGGCACGGTTAATGGACACAGATCTACATGTCTGGCTGAGCAGCAGAATACAGCACATCAGCTAGGCCAAGGCAGAGGTACTCAAAAGTCAGGGGATGGAAGGAAGGTACTTAGCATATTTCTTCTAGCATGGAAAGCAGGGCAGACAGACACAAGGACATAAAAATACCACAGAATTACATTGGTCCCAGTTGGTCACTGGGATTCAGCTACAACCGAAGCTAGAAGAGTACCGTTCCTCGGTGACCCCATGAGCATTCTACTAGTATAGCCATGAGGGAGCGTCTCTTCCTGAACTAAACCTTAGTTCACACCTTACCCTCATGTCTCTGGAGAGGAGCAGAAGCTGGCATAGTGTGTGTTCAGCGTGTCTGATGGATACGTAATTCAGAGAAGTAAAAGTTCTTACTACGTGAACCAGTTGGAGTCAGAAGACAGAAGAAATAAGATCTCCACTGCAAAGAAGAAACAAATGCCATTTGCTGAGAGGCAGAAACGCAAAGCAAAGCAAGTGCACACCCTTACTTAAACCAGAGCTAGAGTACAGGAGCCAGAGTCACCAAGGAGGAGCCAGGAAGTCAGAGAAAGTCAGTGAGTTACCGTATCTTCACACTCCACTTGGAATGGAACAGAACAAACCATCCTCACTATCACTCATTATCAGGAGATGCTCAAATCCTAAAGCGTGCATGATAGGGGAGTTCAGCCAATCACATTCTGTTTTTGGGGCGTGCCGCCCTTAGGCTAAAGCTTGCCTATAAAACTAGCAAGCGTGCTCCCGCTAGCTCTCAGCTCTCTTTTAGCCTGGCTCCTGCATCCGGACGGATTGTTTGGATTCTGGTGTAAGCTGTTGTAAGTCTTACTTCTGTTTATTAAAGCTGTATATTTTGTATTAAGATAGTCTGGGGACTTTTCATTACCATTCCCCCTGCGGCCTCACGTGCACTGAAAGATTCTGAAAAGCAATGAAAACAGAATTAGCAAACCCTAAGTGCACAACAAGGCTACAGGGAGCCTGCTACAGGATGCGACACTGGAATTGGAAGGAAGAAAGTCAAAGAACAGTGGTTCTCATTTCTCACCTACTTTTCGTGGTGTGTGTGTGTGTGTGTGTGTCTGTCTGTCTGTCTGTCTGGGACATGTGTGTTCTAGCTCTACAGGTACATGTGCTGTACCTTTCTAATCAGTGCCAGCTAAACATTAGCAGTATCTGATCTGGAGTACAAAACCCAAGAGATCTGTGAACAATGAGCGGCACCTATGCAGACGTCTAGACAGCAAGGAAGAAGGTGGTAAGGGACCTTCACAGGGTACATGGCCGTGTCTGCAATTCCAGAACTCACACAGAAAGAATCCGAGTTCCCTGGCAGTTTGCACTACTCACTCCCCAGGCCCGACCCACAAAGAGTGACTACAAAGGCAATGGATCTGGAATTCGTGTCCTGAGCTGCACACCTGCAATTGTGGGAAACACTGTCCCAATATTTATGCTGAAAGTATCTGGAGTAGGAGCACCGGGAGACGACGGGCACACTCACGGCTAGAGGCTGACCACACGAGTGACTCTGCCGCACCCTCACTCCTTTACGGCCCCATGTCCTGTAGAACTCAACAAGTCCTCCACATGCTGGAAAGGGAGGTGGCAGTGAGAGACGCTAGCACCATGCTCTTGGACTTCCCAGTTACCACGGCATGAGTCAAATGAAGCTCTATCCGTCATAAATTAGCTTCTGCTATTCTGTTGCAGTGACAGAAAGCAAATGAAGACAAAGAGCCAGAGCACATTACACCAAATTCTACAACTTAGGAGTACATTGATTTCAATGGAGGATGGAAAAAAACACTTCAGAGATAGAACTCTGAGTGAAAACCAGAGCTACGGGGTCATTAGATGAACTCCCTAAAACAGGGACTTGCTGAGAGTGGAATGAATATTAGGGCGGGAGACCAACAGTGTGCTACTGCCAGATGGACGTGTCTGCTTTTCAATGCAAGTCAGTTATTTAGAAAATGTGTTTGCAACCCCAAATCCTTATTTGTGGACCTGCACATAGGCAAGGTACTGAAAAATAAGGGTCACTAGCCTGTTGCACACATGCCCAGTTGAAACAGAATAAGGCAATGTCGCACCCTGTTTTGGCTCTCCTACCATAAACACATGTCCTTTTTGCGGTCTATTTGGTGTCATGCTGATGTGGGGGGGAGGGGGCTTTGCTGTTTACTTTTTGAATGTGTATGGCTTCATTGCTAATATTACTGTTTAAAAAAATCAAAACAAAACAATAACCACAACAAAACCCTAAGTGTAAAAATGAAGTACTACTCAGTGCACAGGCAGCGATGGGCCTGTAGGAAAACGTTAGCTGCACATCACAGGCGCGTGGGTGAGCTGCGGTGCTGCTGGACTCGAGATGAGTGTAACACACCCACCATTTACTAAATGTGGCGTCTTAAGCAGACACAGATAAAATAAAGATTATCAGTTGACAAAAATGGGTTCACAGGAACTTGACAGGAGAAATTTGTCAAATCAAGGTCAAAAAAAAGTATAGAATCCAGTGAAAACCGATGATCACCACACTCCATCTGTGTGGCTTTGTGTGGCTCTGTGCACTATGCTTGTCAAGCGCCACAGTAAAAGGCTTGGATGGGTAAGAGACATCAGTCTTCACAGTTGGGTACTCTAGAGGACAAACAGACTTGTACACCCCAGCTTTGCTTTTAGTGGTCAGCATTCTTCCAGAGACTTCAGTTTCAAAGGCTGAACTCACCAAGACACCCTGGCTTTACAGCATGCATGACACACACACACACACACACAAAGTATACAACAGGATACACTGATACACATTCTAGGGAAAAGCCCTGGAGGGCGGGAATGGGAAAGGAAAAAGATAGGCAGAGGGAAGAGGCAGGAAACCTACAGCAGGGAAGATCAGTAGTATACAAAGACTTCAGCCCTGGGTCTCTGGAACTGAGGGACGAGTCAGAGAGGAAGGCATGGAGTTGGTAGATCCCAAGATGTGTATGCAGGAGTCTCTGGGGGGCTCCATCAGAGGGTAGTCTATGGGCAGGAGGCACAAGCACTGTGCTGAGCAGGGCTGTCATACCTCTACTACTGTTCACCGCAGCAGAAAGCAGGACAGCCTGAGACCTGAGCACACAGAGAGCCGCACGGCAGAAGAAGCTGTCCGGAGGTGACACAGAGGTCAGAGTGCCAGCGCTCAGCCGAAAAGAAGCCACACGTAGGAAACAAGGACAGGTGTTACAGTGAGCTCTTAAAATGAAAAACTGACAGAAGCCTACTGAAATTTGTTCACAAAAAAGCTAGAAGATGCAGTTTAGAAATTCCTATGAAGAAGAGGAAAAAGAACTAAAAAGACTAAGGAAATTAAGTGTAGCGTTCCAAGGGCTAAACAAAGAGCCCCCCCCCAAAACACACACCCCAGGACTGTGCTCCCACACTTGAAGAGCTCACCTGGGGCCAGAAACTTTCAGCAAAACTTCTAATTATGAAATTTTGTAACATACAAGCTACAAAGAAATCATATTAGGCTTCCAAATTTCCACTATTTTTCTGGCTTTTAGTGTTCTGAAAGTTTCCCAACTTACAATTCTATATTCAGCCAAACACTAAATAAGCAAATAAAAAGTCATTTAATTCTACAGAGTTAAGGGTAAATGTGACAAGTGGGTCAGTATTATCAACTTTTCGAGTTCGGATTCCCAGAACACATGTAAAAGCTGGACAGACGTTATGGCCACCTGCAATGCCAGCACTAAACCAGCAGGGACTGAGGATCCTGGACAAGCCAGCTAACTACAGTTAGTAAGCACAGGTTCAGGAAGGACTCGGCCTCAGTAGACAACCGAGGAGCACAGCCAATGTCAAGGCCAGGCTTCCACAGGCATGTGTGCGCACACACCAAATAGAGAAATTAAAAAGAATCGGAGCCAGCAGACGATGCCCTATATATCAAAGGGGAAAATGGTACAATTCTCTACAGCGTGAGCACACTTAGACTATTTATTTCCTGCCAGATGCTTGACCCAACTAGGATAGAGAAAGAGCAAGATGAGCCCTCTGTTATACTCGAAAGAGGTTCTTCAAACACTGATGGAACCATGTCAACAAGAACACAAAAACTATGATGGTTCCATTAGCTAAACCTGGACACACAAACAAAAAACTATCAGTAGTGGCCTATGACTTACTGCATAACTAATTACTATTCCATACTGACGAGCTATGGTGTGCTCCTGCCCCACGCTTGGACAACACAACCGGGCACTGACCTGAGTGCTGAGACACACTACCCTCGCTATGGTGTGTTCCTGCCCGGATGAAAGTCTTGTTCTGATCATGAGGAAACATTATGATCCCAAGTTGTGGGGCATTTTCGACATCACGGACCTCAAACGTGGGGCTTGGGGACAAGGATGTCTCAGATCAAGGGAAACAAGAGGCACAAAGCAAAGGCAGCACCCACCTCTAAATGAGTCCTCGTTACTGTTGCTAACCAGCACCGTCCGAGGCCTCTGCACTCTGCACTCACTGTTACTTCCTAGACTGTTATAACAGTTACGATGAACTGCCCTGAGAATGTGCCCAAGAACTCTATAAAGAGAGTAACGTGGGCAAACGGCTCTCTCGGGAAGATTAAGATGCATCTGCAAAGCAAACATGGCAATGCGAACTCTGGTCAACCGGGGTGAAGACAATTCCTATGTGCCCTTGTCTTAGGGTAATTTTCCTGTAACCTAATGTGATTTTGAAGCCATTAGGAAAACCCACGAACATTCTTATTTATCCCGTGTTTTACATATAAGTACCCATGGGTCGGTGCTGACACATGACGGCTGGAGTGCTAACAACACTAGCATGTGGGCATCGGAAAGCACGCGAGAGCCACGTCGGCAGGGCCTCAGGTGCAGTGAGTCACTAACCCTGGGGATAGATGTTTACACTCAGAGTCACAGAAGAGTAAAGTTTTCATTTTATTCAAAGTTTGTACAGAAAGGCTAACATTACCATAAAATAATTACTACACTTCAGCTACAGGACAAAATACCACAGAAAGGAACGGACTTCGCGAGAAATGTATTCATCTTAAGTTTTCAAATACTTCTAAAGGCTAATGCAGCAGCTGGCAAAATAACACAAGTACACAAAGAACAGAGGGCTTGCAGTCAGCAGCAAAGACTGACGGCTCTTTAGCAGATTGGCTTCTTTTTTTGCCATTTTTAAACAACAGTAACACAACACAGTAAACCAAGATCATACAAGTCTACAATTGTAAAAATCAGTTGTACACAGTATAGGCAAGTTAGAACTGTCACAAGTAGCTAACAGCTTTAAATTTACAGTTTAACGGTTTTCTTTTCAAGATAGAAAAAAATTCTGAGTTCTTTGAAACTAAAGCTTTATACAATGAAACGGACCTTATTAGTCGAACTTGAAAACAACAGAGAGTGAACTGGAAATAATTAAAAGCTAACCAATAACAAATTAATGTTCACAAATTCCATTATAGCCATATTTGGTCTACAATACCAGATGAAAATGATCCATGTACATAATGCACAGTCCAGTGGACTGACTGGTCTCTGAACCAGGAGTGTGGACAAAGTTCCCACAGGCAGTACATTGGGAAAACATTTCTCAAAGCAGACATCTTTTCAAATGCATTAACACTTACATATCAAAATTCTTTAGATACAAGCAGCAGTGTTCCGCTGGCATTTGGCTTAGAAATCAAGGAATGAATGAAGCAATTTCACAGGATATTATTAGAAAAAGAATTGCTCTTCTTGAAGAAGACTACTAACTTTTGCACAGCAACTATTTTTGATACCCATTTTGTCAAAAAAGAAAAGCAAAGCGGAAAAGCCTACCAGTTCATATGGTGATTACCAACAGTTCCAGACAAAGAACGGCGTCCACACAGGGACAGACAAGCCCCTGCTGGGTCAGAACTTGGCAGGTGCTCACAGACTGAAGCAAGAATGGCGAGGGTGGCAGAGGAGCGGCTCCACACCGTCCTCAGACACTAATGCAGTACGCCACTGTTTAAAAATAACAGTAACAACAATAAAGCTTTTACATCTTAATAACCCCGCAGAGCAGCCCATGAGTGGTGATCTGTTTGCCACTCAACAGTCTGAGTTCTCACAGTGAAATCAGGAAATTATACATATTTACACCATGACTACTTTTCTTTCCATGAAATTATAAATGAAAATCATTTGTGCCAAAGAAATTTTGAAAAGCATTTCAAAAGTTGTATTAAACTCTCTTAAAGGTACAGAATACATAGGTCAAAGGTTAACTGCTCTACATTGTCACATATTGCTAGTCAAGGACATTCCTTACAGCCTTTCCCTCAGCTCCCCACCCGCACCTCCCTGCAACCTCCAGGTTACCTGTTGTACAATGCCACCATAGGTGCACACACGGGAGAAATCTCACCATCCAAGTTCATGTGAACTCTTCTAATATATACCACATAACAGGACTTTGTCTTTTTTTTTTTTTTTAGGTCACATTAGTCTATGTCATCTACAGTCTTTGTTATAAGGTTTCCCTAGGAAGAAAAACATTCAAACAAAGGAGGCGCTCTCTTTCCTCTGAGAGCTGTATCTGAAGATGTAGCCATAACTAGACGGCTCATTTTCACTCTTGGTAACCATGGGACTATTGGAAGTAAAGCAAAGCAGGGGAAAGGGCAATGCTGAGGGGAGGAAGTGCACTTTTACTTCTGCATGCACACCACAGCTTTCCACTCGTCTAGTCTTGAGGAGCTAACAGAGCACATTAAAAAATTTTCAGTACTATTAGGAAAAGCGATGTCATATAGAGTCTGTCCAGAAATAGTCTGATGTTCGGAACACAGAGATCCAACTCTCTACTAAAAAGTACAGTTAAGCACATAAAGAACACAACGCTAACGGTACCTCATGCAACCCTATGCAAGATCAATATAGTATCTGCACTACTGAGTGTCGAAAACTAACACTTCTTCTAGATGAGACTTTAGCATTCCAATGACTACGACTCACAAAGCTGTTACCTGCCTGCCCACCAGAAACCCCACTGTCCCAGTTGATTTCAGATTGTGGGTCTGTGCCCACAATCTGATTTTCCCTAAAAACCCCAAATATAAGCAGCTGCTCTCCCCATCAGAGCAGCACAAACAGTGAGAACGCAAGACTCACCTCTCAGGACCCGGCTGTGACAGCAGTCTCCCTGTCCAGCCTTTTGGTACTGTGGTCGTCCTGACAACCCTGGGACAACGGCTTGGTGGGTTTATGACTTGCACTTGTGGTTTAATGAGAATGCTATCAGGTTTTGTGCTTTTTACAAGTGGAGACACACAAGTGAACAGTTCTGTGCTTTCTATGGAACTTTAGCCTCTCCTTACACATGGAAACGTGAGCTATTGTTATATGAGTGCTCAGACGTCCTTAACAAACTATACAGGGACATTCTAAAAATATACTCAAAATTATAATGTAACTTTAAAATTTTAATTATAGATGTAAAAGTAAATTAAGATGAATAAATAACATTAAGCTACTATATATATATATATATATAGTTAAAACTGCCTTGTTTCTGTGAACCAAAAACTACATATAAAAGCATGTAAATGCATACTTTCCACTAGCTTTCTTCATTAGTTACAATAAAAGCTAAAAGCATAGGACGCTCACGGCTAAGAAACGGACAGGTGCAAACTAGCAGATCAACACCGGCAAGGAGAAAGTTACCTACAACCTAAACACAAACCTCAAAATTTGATTATACTGTGGAAAACCTTGTACACTAGCAACTGCCATTCCAAGATTTCAGTAAGCCCCATCTGTTTCCAATTACACACACAGACATGCACATACGAGATACTAATGACATTCTGCTTTCACACTAATACACTGAACATTAAATTTGTATGTGTTATTTACATATAAATTTATAAAGTCAGCAGCCCTAGGAAAATAGGGCAAATACATCTAATTATGCTATAGGTATATACTATCAACTTGTGCTGTCCAGAAAATCCCTAGCGGAGTCATTAGACATACGCTACCTGGGGGGGGGGGGGCAACATGCCAGACAGAACTCCTCGGCCTTCCTGGGCACTTAGAGGAATCAGGCCATCCAAAGAGTAAAGTGCATGAGATGAGTAATGACACACACTATGTCTTTTCCTCCGTTTCTCAGCAAAGGCTACAGGGCAACTGCTACTGGTTGTTAGGAAAATGGGAGGCTTACACGCACACTGAACCTTGTCTGTTATAAAGGAGTATAGACAGAAGCACAAATGGCATCCATTTCACAACATTGTTAAAAGATCAGTCAGTAGTGAGGACTTTAAATGAAAACACATGACTAAGTGTGGGACTTGGCACTAACAATACTCTTACACAGAACCTCAGCTCACTAGCGGAGCAGCAACGGTGTTTAAGACAGTGTGACAGGTGATCTTCACGAGAAGCCTCGGATATAACAGTCCAAGTGTTTCTCTCTGTACCAGCTAATTTCCAACTTCACCACCTTAATGGCAAAACCAGCCTTTCTGCATCACATGACACCATCGTCTCAAAGGGGCTCCTTTGAGAACTCACTATTGTTTCCTGACTTTAAAAATACTGGAACACTGGTGATTTCATCACTTCTTAGAAAACTGTGCACCAACAAGGCTGTGCAGCCACATGGTTTAACAGGAATGAACGGTCTCGTGCACACCTAGGGAACGGTGAGCTGTCACTAACAGATACCTATGTGGTCCCCTTCCAAACATACCTCCCATGAGGTGTGATACGAGGGAATGAAGCAATCTTAGTACTGGTACTATAGTACCAGTCAGACGAGAAGATACAAGACCTAATCTCTCAATGGGTAGCAACAAGGCTGATTTATTTGGTGGAGAAGACTCATCCAAACTAAATGACATTCAAAGAGATGAGAAGATCATGCACTTGGGATAAAGAAAGAGTCCCAGTGTAGGAATTTAAGGATTCATAACCACCCCCAGACAAGGCTTTTAACCCCATGCTCAGAGAATCAATTAACTCAGAGATCCATTCTTAACTGGGAGTTTCACAAAGTGAAGGGTCTCTGCTAACTTCTTATAGTGACATCTATAAGAGGAAAGGAGACACAGCCCTGGTCAGCCTCCCTCTCTGTGCAAGATAATGATGGATCCTTGGAGCCAGTGGGAAGGAAGCCCTGGAAATGAGACCCACTGGATCTGAGTCAAGGACAGGAGTTATTACTTGATGCTCCTCTAAAACCAAAAGCAATCACTTCCTAGAAAGCACAGCTGAAGAAGAGACCGGCAGGACAGTCTTCAGAAATGAAAGAGACCTGAAGTCCCACAGCAGAGTGAGCAGTTACTCTCCAGGCCACTGTCAACAGCCCTCTGCTCCAGACTCAGACACAAACTGCCTGGGAAGACAAAACATCGACAAGTTGAGCCCACACACCGAGGATAACTATTTCTCACCTGCGTTTGTGGACCAACAGCCCCATCTACATTTTTACTTTTAGCCACATTTTAGTCAGTGTCAATCTTGGTCAATTCAGAACCTTAGCTTGCACAAGCGCAGAAATACATGTGTAAATGTCTGAACAGACCCACGCCATCTTTTAGGACTCATATCCATGGGAAGGACGGACACTTTGCTAGCCTGAAACAACCATCTATCATTCCAAGGTCATTCCAACAACCTATAGACTGAAGCCTGGTCTCCTGGAATGAAGCTGCCTTTTCCAGTTCACACCCTTCTCAATCACAGCATCCATGTGGGAGGCAGTAAGGAAGACAAGCCCTAGGGACTTCAGAGTCAGTGCAGCGATGCTCACACTGGTAAGAATGAACACCTCGTGGATATGTTAAGTCATTTCTTATTTATATAGAACTCTAAATCTGACTTACTGCTATTTACACAGACACATGATATATTGTATGTATCTTACTATAAGACAACAAAAAGAGGGTAAAAAGATCTAGCATTCCAAATTATTAGGACTCAAGACTAAATAAAGGGGAGAGATTCACATAAACAACCTATTCTCTTACACTGTAAATACGAGGATTGGGAAGGCCACTCAGCCAAGGGGTTAATTCTTGCTAAGTGCAGAGGGATGTGTTCAAAGGAAATACTAACTCCTACAACTTGATACAAATTCAGACAACCCAAGATCCTATGAACGTCTTCACAGACTGAAAGGTTATCTCAAGTGGAAAATTCTTTAAGAGAAGACTGACACAAACCACGAACAAACCATTCATTCAAATACATGTGGGCAAACTCTGATCCAGATCTGGAGAACTGCTTTCTCATCTTTCCACAGGGTCCCGTGACCTTGGGCGTGTCACAGCCTCGACCTCCATTCACTCAAGACAAGGAAGCCCTATCTACTCGGTCCCTCCGTTATAAACCTCAAAGTAGAAATTGAGAGAAAAATTGTACAAGGCACTCTAAGTTCTTTCGAAATACATGTTATTCGTACATAAATCACCTTTTCCACCTACAGGCTCAGTCCATCAGAAACCCTCCTGAAGACAGGAAGACTGCATGTACCCAATGATCCCTAAAGTCAATATTGGGCTCAAGTCCATCATTTGCAAATTGATGCAATACCAAAAAAAAAAAATAGTTATCAGGATTGAGCTTTGATTTGAAATCTACAAAATGATCTATAAAAGTAATAATTGTCCTTGAGTACAAGGCTTAATAAATTTATTATATAATTTAAAAAGTTATTAGCTTAAAGAAAGTAGGTATATAGTTAGTTTTCTCCATCTCTCTTGGAGAACAGGCAGTGTTGAAGACACAGGACTACAGACATCATCCTTAAGAGTTCTTCTCTAACTTCTTCTGTGCCATCCTCACTAGGGAGAAACAGCCTATAATAAAGATCCGCTGCCTGTGGATGCTGCGATTGGATAAAGGTAAAGGTCTGTACAGAGTCCTGTGATGTCCTCCACAAGAGCGCATGACCACGCTGGGCACCCACAGAAACCCTACGCTGATCAACAGCAAGGGTGAGGAGAGTTCTGTGGCTAGTGGCCAGTTTGTAACGACGCGTGCGCGTGTGCGTGTGCTGACTGTAACAGCATAGATGTACACTCACGGCACATCTTCAGGAAAGGCAAAAACTAGGAAACTAACTTACAGAGAACGCAGTATGAGTCAGGATTTGATTTTTCCTCTAAACACATCAGTGTATCACAGCTAGTCAAGGGCCACAACTCGGCACACAAAAGCTGTGCCCACTTCTGTGGCGACACTGAATGTTTCTCACAACTGGACCCATGGGGAAGGCATCTGGCTGATTAACAAGGAATGATACAAAATAACAAGGAAGCATCTAGTAAAGAGGCAGAAGATGATTCATCATCTTCTTAGCATTACGTTTATCAAGCATTGCATGGTAGTTAATTCCCAAACTATATTTTAAAACACTTTATCTCATCAATAAATGTGGGGATCATCAGCAATACTTACTTCCCCCCCAATTAAAAAAAAATACAGACTTGGTAGTCATTCCATATGGTTCAGTTTAGAAAGAAAAACAGAGGGAGGGAACTGAAACAAAGTCTGCCCAAGCCACTAACATTCCACACACAGGGGTACAAAAATACCTCTAGGAAAATATTCTTCCTTTCTTTTGGCAAGCAGAATCCATGGACTCATGCTAACAAAACCAGCCAAGCAAACAAAGTTGTCCTGAAGTAATCACTATACAACACATTAGACTTTCAGGACATAACTAATCATACAATCTCTACGAATTCAATTTTTTAATCATAGCAGGGATTAGAGACAAAAAACCTTACAAATGAGCAAATCTACTTCAGCACAAGGTCTACTAAGACTTGGCAATGCAGACAAGACACTTTATCATGGTACCTTAACACAGTTCTGCTCTAAGTGACCTGTGAGAAGAATTGGTCTTTCCTCACTTTGGTATGGAAAACTCTAAAACCACAATTTTTTTTTTTTTTGCACAATTCATTCTGTTTTGTTTCATTTAAGTTGAAGATTTATTTCATCCATCTCTGGGAAAATAGTCTTGCAAATAGATGATTTTCTGCTAAGAAAAATTTGGCTAAAACCTTCAGCGTAAACAATGCCTGAGAGATGCAACAGTTACATTTTTGTTTTCAAAGACCAGTATTTTGTTAAGTGCCTCACCATGTTCTTAAGTTCATAAGGAGAAATAAACAAACATGAAAATTCCAAGCAAACACACAGCAAAAAGTCCAATGTTTAACACGACTTTGACTTGCGGAGACTCCTCCAGCATCTGTGAGCAAACGGCCTCCTCATCCATCAGGTCTCTGAGGCTTCTCTTGCTAAGGCTTTTACTCTTAAAGCCACAAAACCAGTCTATGAACTTCCAATACCGGTTTCGGCTTTCTGTTTCCTTCTCTCTCTCTTTCTCACCCATGAGAGCTGCTTGCCCATTGGAATAAGCATCCACTGGTGTTTCTGCCTCTGAATGACCCATGGAAGCTACTGGATTGCCCTCTTCTCTGCACGTCACCAACAAATTAATATCTTCAGGCTGAAGTTCCTTAATACTGTCTTCAGACTTCCCATTGGGAATGACATGGTTGATAGCCTCACTGTTATCATTGCTCCGTAGAAAGCTCTTCTCTTGCATTTTGTATGGCTCATCTTTCTGACAGCAGCTCTCCTTTGTTACCAGGGTCTTCTTTGACCAAAATGTGGTGGTACGAATCTGATCCTTGGTGGGAGGCGGTGTGAGAAGACTTACAATTACAGTTATAAGTCCTGTGATCCAAAACAATGCTGTAGCCACATACATATAATGGATGTCTTTGATGAAGCCTGGCCTGTTATCAGGTTGGTCACATTCAGGAGCACGGTAGGTAAAAGCCAGTATCAAACGGACAGCTCCAAGAACAAAGCCTGCCATTCCACCATAGAAAGCCCCTTGCTCGTTGCAACGTTTCCAGAAAATTGCCAGAAGGAAGAGGGCTGCCACTGGAGGGGTCAGATAATCTGCCACCTCCTGGATATAAAGGTACATCTGGCCTCCTTGCATCTCCACAATAATTGGCACCCATGCTATGCTGATGACAACCATAAAAGCCACAAATATCCTGCCCACTATCATTAGCTCCCGGGAGCTTGCACTCTTGCGGATAAGCTTGTATACATCGAGGGTGAATATGGTACTGGCACTGTTAAAGATGGAGTCCAAGTCGCTCATCAGAGCAGCAATCATCACTGCCATCATCAAGCCCCGAAGGCCCACAGGAACCAACTCCATCACCAGGCGTGGGTAGGCAATATTGGAGCACCCAGCTCTGCTTCCACACACTTGCATGCAGTGCTCGGGGTTGATGCAGGCTATGCTATCAACAAACAGTATCCTAGAAATCATTCCTGGTACAACTATGATAAACATTGGTAGAAGCTTCAAGAAGCCAGCCATTAGTGTAGAGCCTTTGGCATGAGCAATGTTTTTGGCTGCTAGAACCCTCTGCACAATGACTTGGTCAGCACACCAGTACCATACCGAGGCTGGGGTCTGCCCAAGAATGAATCCAGGCCATGGAACATCTTCATCTGTTGGATCTCGCAGCATTTTTAGGGCATCCTCCTTAGGGTGGACGTTACATGAATTTGTGTTGGAAAGGTTGTATGTCAACAAAATGGAAGTAATGTTGGGTGAGGCCAACATGTACCTTCTCTTAACTTCCTCAAACCCTCCGATCTTCATCATGCTAATAACCATAAGTGTGAGTGCCCCAATAATCATGAGCAGAGCCTGTAGGGTGTCTGTGTAGATCACTGCAACAAGGCCTCCGGTGACAGTCAGCAGAGCGGTCATGCCAATGAGCAGGATGACAGACACATAAAGGTTCCAACCCAAGGACTCCTGGATAAAGAGGGCCCCCGAATACAGGTCCACTGAGAGCTTGGTGAAGATATACAGAAGCAGAGACAAGGCCGCAAAATAGACCTGAATCCTATGGCCACCGAATCTCTTGGACAAGTATTCAGGCATAGTGTATACCCCTGACCGGATGTAAATAGGGATGAAAACCCATCCCAGAAGTTGCAAAAGCAGTAAGGCATTGAATTCCCATGCGCCTACTGCAAATCCACTCGCTGCTCCAGATCCTGCCAGCCCAATGAAGTGCTCACTCCCAATATTGCTCACAAACAGAGAGGCACCAATTGCTACCCAGGTCATAGAGCGCCCGGCCAGGAAGTATCCACTCACAGTGCTTCTATTAGATTTCCACATGGCAAAAAAACCAATGCACATGACCAGGACAAAATACAGGGCCACTATGGCAATGTCTGCCGTCTCCAGTACAGCCCTCATTCTGGTAACTTGTGGATAAAATGTCCGAATGAAAGAAGTGTCCAACTTCTTATTTACTTATTAGTAACCCAGCCAAGTCTGTAAAGCACACGTCAACAGGACTACACAGAGCAACACTGCGGTTCAAAGTCTTTGTCCTTTGTTTGCTGTCTTGATGGTGGTGGTTGTGGTAAGCTTGGAAGGAGACAGTTTTAAATTTCCTCCGCTTCTCAATTGGGATTGAGAATTTAGATCGCACTCTTAGTCCACAAGACCATCAGCATTTACTCAGGTGCTGGAGGAGAAACTCTGAGCTGCAGCTAAGTCTAGTGGAGCCTACTGTACCAACCCTGCAAGGCAGCAAAGACAAAAGACAAAGAGTGAATTAGAGGAGGGGCGCATCAAGCGGTGAGGAAACTTCAATTGAGCAAACATGGCGCAACATTTGTCATAAAAAACACTTTTACAATACACTTTAATAACTGCAGCAAAGCACAAACTATTGTCACAGAGGATAGTGATAGCAGCCATCATTCTGAGCTAAAAACAAAAGGATCCTCAGTCGCCTCAGGTCTCACGGAGCAACTGCCCACCATGTCACAAAACCGTTGCTTGTTTTGCTATAGCAGTTGCACCTCAGAACAGGAATCAAGATGTTAAAGTGCCCTAAGGGAGAAAGAGAACACTAGATTCCCTTAACAAAGCAAAACAGATCTTCAAATCCTTGCAGTGATGGGGAGAGCTTATGGCCAGCTAAGTCCTAGATACAATAGCAGGTACCTGAGATGCTAAAAGTCCCGCTGTAAATGTACAGTCATGGGGAACCTAGGATTATACACAGCTGGTGAGAAAAAGGAACCCTACACACAAGCACTATGGCACAAAGCTTCCTGGACTCCAGCTGCCCTTGCATGTGCTCTGCTAGGGAGAAAAGAACCCTTCGGCTGGAACTTCTTTCCCTTCCTTCTGCAGGCAATAATCCCTCCCCACCCCCCAAAAAACCTAAGAATACAAAAGCATTCCACTCAAGGTTTGATTTTATAGAATATTTCAGTACTGTAATACGTCTAATTCTTTCTTCCTGTATGAAAAACAAAGAGAGATTTTTTTTCTGGAAGGATGAATAATTTGATTTCTCTGTGGTCTAAGCCTGAATAAAACAGTTAACCATTAAATCATCTTCAATAAATCTATCTGACATTTTTCAGCTCTGAATTAAGATTATTCTGTAAAACACATTTAAAAATGACTAAAATCAAATGGATAAATCTGATGGTTCTCCTCTTACTAAAGAAATCCTCAGTCTTCAGTTAATTATAAAAGAAGCTGACAGATCAATAATATTATTATTATTCAAAATAATAGTGTCACATATTAGTGTCTAAGTGCTTCTGTTTATTAGTGAGGAAACTTCAAAATAAATGGTTTTCCATGCTTTAAAAAACTGTTGTTTCTGATAAATCTAGACATTTTCTTTAAACAAACAAACAAAAAAACAGTAAACTTAGGAGCCATGGAGCCATAAATAAAAATGAGGCCAGTTATCTCAAAACTGCTTAAACTAAAACTGCAGTGTTAAAAGCCTGATCCCTCTCAGAAGGAAAGTCAGCGAGTCCTGCCCTAAAGAGAGCCCACTACACTCCAGCAGGGCGAACCCATACTGCTCCCTGAAGAATGCCGGTCTTATCATTTCCAGCTCTCTTCTAAGTCAAAGCACACAATAATTACACTTAACATAAAAAATGAAAATAAAACCACATTAAAACCCTACCTCCTAAAAATCATGTCAGTAACAAGATACTGCCAAAAGCAAATCAAAACAATAAAAAACCTCAAGTACAAATTTACATCATTACTTCATACCTGACAAATCCTAAAGTTGACCATATTTTATGACTGCTTTCCTAATCCTCCAAATCTTTCAAGTTTAAGCCCCCCCCCCAAAAAAAAACCTCCAAAATTTGAGTAAGCTCTATAAATGATGAGTCTTCAGTGGCAGTGGGCAGAGGCTGGTCATGAGGCCCTGCCTTCAGTGAAGACTCTCCTCCTGCTGGCACTCTGACACCCGCCCACCTACACAGGAAGAGCCTTGCTGCTCCAGGATCTTCAGATAAAGTCTTCTTGGTGGAAGCTTAGCATGTTTCCAGAGCCTCTGTCTACAGGGGGAGGGCTCAGCTTCTGTCCCCTGCTGAGGTAGCAGCTTCTGTGCTCAGAGTCAAAGCAGACATGTCCTGTCCACCACTAGAAATCAATCTAGAACCAGTGTCGGTGTTAAATGTGACTCACAGCATCAACTAAGCCGTTTTCTGCTTCCAGAGGAGAGCTCACCTGGCTGAAAGTCCCATACAAAGCCTGAGTCCTCATTTCCTTAGACATGTCTTCATAGCAAATAGCAGATTAGCCAAATTTGAGCTCAGAGCTGTCCAGGGCTGGGCATGATGACACACACTTGTAACCCCAGCACTCAGGACACTGAGGCAAAGGACCGCTTTAGTCCCAGATCAGCCTCGGTTACTGTGCGACTGTCTCAGGAACCAAAGAAGGTGTTTAACTGTCTTCCCTCTTCATGTCCTTCCAGAGTCACTGCTCAGGGCCTCACCCAGCCCTGCACTGGTCTGCAGGATGTTTTTAGTTTTTCAACTTAAAATGCAGACAGGGATTGATGCTCCCTAAAGAACAGAAGGGAAATAATCACAACACATCCATTCAGACTGCAGAAAGGTATGAATGCCACGGTAGAATGAGAGTGAGCTCCACATGTCAGTCACAGTTATCACAGCCTGGATTCCAGCCTTCCAGCAGGAGACAGAGTTCACGCTTCTTTAAGTGGGGAAGGGAATCCCAACAGAATACACGTGAGTTTTGTATATTTCCATGTTTAAAGAGTAAACATTTCTTCACCAGTAGCACCATGAACAACAACAGGCCCAGAGTTCCTTTATTTTAGAAAGAATACACATGAAAACACCTTCAGCTAACACACAACTTCCTAGAATATGTTCTGTATCCGTAAGCTTTCTTTCACAATTAACATGTTTCCTTGACATGACATTTTTTGAAAAAGAAAAACAATGATTCCCACAAGAGTATTTAGAGCACAGAAATGGTCCCCAGGAAAGAGGAACTAACATCAAACACAGAGGGGTTTTGAAATAGGACTTTCCCCACTAAAATCACTAATAATGTATGACCTTGTGTCACACTAAATCAGAATGCAGATGTGGTCATGCATTTAAATGCATTAAAGCAGAAAGAGAAGGGAAATGCATATGGCGCCACGTCTGGCCAACTAGAGAGAAGACATGAGCCCCAACTGAGATTAACTCGTAAGCCTTCCACAGATGAACTCAGAACTAGTCAGACAACCAAATCTCATTTCTACAGTCTGGGGCGGGGCATTTTATTTATCTGCCAAACCAGGGAATGATTCTGTACCAGTCTATAAAATCGAGGATGCAGATCTCTAAAAAGAAAAGTCACGTGACATAGAATCCCAACAGGGAACAAGGACAACAGTCATGGAGTTCAGTGGGGACTCCTGTCACATCATCAAGTTAGATGTGAGCTAACAAAGCACAGATCCGCAGTTCTCAACCTGTCAGTGGTGATCTTTGGAGGGGTTGAATGACCCTTTCACGGGGGTCATATAGCAGGTATCCTGCATGACAAATATTTACATTACAATTCATAACAGTAGCAAAATTACAGTTATGAAGTAGCAACAAAAATAATTTTATGGCTGGGGGTCACCACAACATGAGGAACTGTATCAAAGGGCCGCAGCATTAGGAAGGTCGAGAACCACTGACATAGATTATGTTGACCCTAAAAGTAACCAATTGCACTGTTCTTACCTTGGGCTAAGTTCACAAAGGCTCAAGAGATAGGCTGCACAGGACCTCAGCACTGTCCCTGGGAGGCCTGGCTAGTTAAACCCACACAGTGAAGGAAGTGAGAAGTACTGTTACCACCTAGTAATTCAAGGGTCATACAAGAACTCTGAAGGTCTCCTGGATCACGGAACTGTCACATGAGCACACCCAAAGCTTCCTTTGTCTCCATCACAAAGCAACAAACAAGTTAAGCCCAGATCGCATGCATCAGGAGAAGGTGTGCGGGTGTAGGTGAGCAGGACAGAGATGCAGGTACTGCACACAGCACAGCAGGAAACAGTGGCTCTCTGAGGAGCAGGCTGGAAAATCTCACGTTCTGATTGCAACAATATGTCCCTGTGAATATGCAGCCACTGTCGCTCCCAGGGGCATAACAAAGATGGAGAAAGTTCCTAACACTGCCCACTACAACAGGCTGGTGGCTTGGCTCGATTTATTCTCTCCAACCTGAATGAAGGGACAGGGAATGATGACACTGGCCTTTTCAAATTTAACTGTCAACTGTGTGCATGGGAGGTCAGGATCTTCACAAATGTTATTCACACATAAAATGAATGGACAAAATCAAACAATGTATTGAACATGTAAAATTCATTCGCAAATGTCTTAAAGTGGTTCCCAGCCATCCACCAACTGTCAGTTCCATCTAGGCATTACATCACTCACTCGAGGAAAATAGCAACCCTTCCCTCGACTTCAAGCCGCTACAAGTAAGTGTGTGTAGAACAGCAGGCCAGCCTGCTAGAGCAAGGAAACCTCTGTTAGAGACGAATTCCAGCAGGTCCTGAGCAGTGAACACCCGTGTCTAGAGGCACCACCAGCTCCAGCCCCATCCACAGCTCCTTCACACTGCTACCTCCATTTCAGAACAGCTTCCACACTGCATTGCTGCTTGTGCTGCTTTCTTTGTGTTTGTTCTTCTCTGATGATTGCTCCCACACATTCCCTAAGCTCACGCTATTCAAATACAAGCCCAAGTTTCCTGTGGAAAGACAACGTATTACGGAGAACTTTTACCTTCTCCACTCCCCTCTCCAAGAGATCTAAGTTGCTTCACTATGACAATCATTAGTGTGGGACACTTATCCCTGAGCCTCCCACACGCTAACTGAATTACCCCCCAGATAAAAACGGCTCCTGCATCAGCATCGACCACCAGCACACAGCACCGTAAGAGTGCATGGAGAAGCTCCTCCACACTCACAGACTCGATCACCCCAGTTTACAGGAAAGAAGGACTTAAGAGCTGGGGTGCAGCTCAGGGTGCAGCACTTGCCTGGCATGTGCAGGGCTCTGGGGTTTGAGTCCCAGTGATCCTAAAACAAACGAAAACTGAGGAGGGGTCTCTAAGATCACTAAAATACAGGAACACTGTCTCTGGAGCAGATATAGCATTCTTCGGGAAGATACACACAGAGAGATAGAGCAGAAATATACACACATCAGGAAAAAAAAAAGAAAAAAGGAAATAATGATTACCATCCACAGCCACCCTGCACAATAATGCACCTGCAGCAATGACTCCCCTGCTAAGACTCTTGGGGAAGCTGATGGTGAACTTTAAAGTGGACAGCTGTCTGCATTCACTGGTGGTCAGTCTATCTCTATAAGACAGTCATCACCAAAATCATGGAAATACTTCACAAAATGCAACCTCAACTACTCATTTTGTTGTTGTTGTTGTTGTTTTGTTTTTGTTTTCCAAGTCAGGGTTTCTCTGTGTAACACTGGGTTTTCCTGGAACTCACTCTGTAGACCAGGCTGGCCTCGAACTCAGAGATCCACCTGCCTCGACCTCCTGAGTGCTGGGATTAAAGGCATGTGCCACCATGGCCCGGCTAGGTATTCAAATCTCTCCCACCAGCTTCCAGAAAATATTCAAACTCAAAAAACACAGTGCAGATGATGGCTGTGCTCTCATTAACAGCATGGTGAGACCAAGAGCGAAGGGTAACCTGTGGAACTTTTTTGAATTCCGATTGGAAGAAACAATTATAAAGAGACACCACCAAACATTAAGGTAGCATGAAGCTGCAGTGTCTGTTTCTAAAGAGAAACATGACAATATTAAAGTCCTCCAGCAGCAATTGATTCAAATACTAAAGCCAGTGGATAACTGCTAAGAACAAGATGTCCAGTTCCAAGTCTGTTACTCCGTGCATCACTTATTAGAAGAGAAACAGAGCTACCATTCACCATGAAGTCATCTAATGCATGTCACCTTAACCCGATAACTGCCTACTCTCCCCAACAAAGCACTCAGGCACACCCCAACACAAGGTACTGTCACCGACACCTACTAACATATCGAATCTTCCACAGAAAGAACTACAGAAGACCCAAAATAATGGAGTCTGCATTGCACACTGTCATTCCTGGAAAGGGCTGCAGACTGCCCAAGGAAACCAAATAATAAAAGCACGACCCTTGATTTAACAGACACGTTTTAGTATAAACCGAACGCCGTAGCGGTTTCAAGCGCAGTGCTTGTACTGCACTGGAGAGGCTGTCACTCCTAACAGCACCATCAAGGTATGCACCACTCGGTGCTGGGTTAAAACAGAGAAGGATGATTTCTAACAATCGGTGATGAATTAAAAACTACGCAACAGACTATCAAATGAACTTCCTGCAACAGTCTGAAATTATAAGAATTAAAGGAAATCTAAAATACACTTCAGAAAAGGTAATAATAGTGGAGCTACCCTAAGACTGGTGTTGACGGTGCTAACGTACACCCTAACCGCCTCACACCTACAGACTACGGGAACAGACCTCAAGGCAACATCAGATGGATTATCAATTTAAGAACTGTGGAGATGATGAGGACTCAGCTCAGCCAGAAGCATGCAGGTAGCCCTGGCCAATCCCCAAAACCCTAACACTTGAGATGTGGAAGCACTGAACAATTCTATGCCCAGCCAACTCTCCCAAGGAAGGCTTTTCTAAGAAGCTGGACGTAGCAGCATAAGCGGCAGTCACCCTGTTTAACTGCGTATGTATTAACACAACCTCATCAAGACCTCTTCCCGCTCCAGCTAATGGCCTCAGCCCATCTAACTGAGTTTCCATCTTGCCTGAACATCCTAACTGTAGTGGACCTTGGTGCACTCTGTTCTTTTTCCTTATAGCATTAGCTAGTTTGTCTCCTGCTAGAACACCATCAGCACTGAACCTTCATTGCATTAGCCTCTGCATTCCTGAAATACATGCTGGTACTGGCACCTAGAAGGTGCCCAGAATAGATGTGGACACCTTCCTCGACACGCGGACTGTAACTACAGTAACTATAAACTGCACTACTTATTGGATGCAGTCATCAAGGCATGACTCCCCACGTCAGACTACCAGAGTACTAGCCTGGCTAAGCTGTGTGACACTGGACACTCCTTTTCTCTGCCTGTGCAGTGTAAATCACACTCATCTTCAAAATGTTGATGAACCCGAAGTGAAGGAAAAGCACACACCTTAAATGCATACTCACACACACACAGCATCTGCTTCAGAATCACTAAGACTAGGCAGTACTATGGCTAACACCCATAGGGCTTAAAGCAGTAAAACTCAGCCAAGTCAGCATTATAGTTCACCTACATGGTGGGGGGGGGAGTGGGGAGGGAGACAAAGAGTCTGACCTCCTTGGTTCCTGCTCATGTCCCTAGAAAACCTGTTCCTAGAGCACATGCACATGGCTCTCTGCTCACATGATCGGACAGATGCTCCTGTAGACCAGTCTCCAGCTCTCCTAAGCCTGTGCCTCCTCTGAAAGACACTTTAGCTGTGTCCTAATTTCCCCGAAGGGGCAGAGAACTCTTTTTCAAGAAACAAAACTAAGAGCAGAGACAGAATAACTGAAGAGATCTGAAAGGAACCCAAGACAGCACAACAGGAGCACAGGCCGCGACGAAGGGCAGGCGCAGCGGGGTTTTCCTCTTCTACGTCAGCTAAGACAAGAGAAGGGGCTAAAAGTTAGAGAACATTTCAGAACTGCTTTCCTGTGGATATCAGAAGACATAAGATCTTGGAAACACTAGAAAAAACTTCCAGGGATTTCATCCTAATCAGATAAAATTTAATAACAAAAATAACAAAAAAGATATTAGAAGAAATTCTCAAGTTTTCTTCACTCTTTTTCTCACACCGACTAAATCTGAAAGAAAAAAAAAACTTACTTTATATGTATAAAGTGGAATTCTTGTGAGACCAGAAGTGCTCCAAGACCTCAGGCTTGGGCTGTCCCCATCAGAACTGGATGACTTACGGTTTTGAGACCACAAACTCCATACAGGTGCTTTCTCAAGACAGCTAACAAAACAGAAGGCAGGCAGTACACCAGCCAAAGAAACACAACAACCTATACTGACCTTTAACGAGGTCTAGTGATTTAAAGGGCAAATAGAAGCAGAATTTGTCTGTGCCAGGCAAACAGCCCATGCTCACGGTTAGCTTCTCACTTGCCGTCTGCCTGAAACTCACCTTAAAACGGAACCAAAATCCCAGTACCCAGTGGATGTTTCATATCTGCAAAGTGTATATCAGAGACAAAACCATCTCCGTACTTCTCTGCAGTTCACTGCACGGTACTGCTGAGAACCTGATTCCAGCCACTGGCCACGCTGGGCTCTGCACTCCTCCTCACGAGGACAATGGTCTCACACTGGGCTACACAGACAGCAATCTAGTTCCCAAAGCTGTAGCTGACAAAAATCAAAGAATCTGATGGCCAGAATAGGTGTCAAGAAGAACATTTTTTTTTCAAGTGAAATCTAAACAAAGTTAAAAACAAGAGTTGTTGGTTCCGGGGGAGGGGGGTGGGGGGTTGTGTGTGCAGGAACCAAGTGCCAGTTCCTGCAGACCGAGGACTCCAGTAGATACTTCCTTAAGTCTGTGCTTTCAACCGCAATTCCTCCTTATGTTCTCACCCATCTCTGGGTACCCAAAGAGTGGGTAGAGATACCCTTAACAGGGACGCTGTAACCACAGAAAAAATCGTTAGGAAAAAGGAGCCAAGCATGTAAAACTGAACCATAGGCCAAAAGATACACTCAAAAACCTGGGCCTCAGGTTTCAAATTTGCAATCTGATGTCAGGTATCTGGAGGAGGAGTAAAGAAAGGACAAAGACAAGAAGAGAAAATAAGTTGTGGTCTCAACTTGTTTTCTACTCTACAGAAATATGAAGCCTAATCACAAATACAAACGGAAGTCTCAAGTCCTCACTGTGTTTCCCAATGCTCTACTCTAGGGTCACAGGTTAACCTACTGCCATCCTCCTCAGCATCATCCTGACCCAGTGTCATTCTCCACACAAAGCATCACCATACAAGCGCCATTTCAAACTCCTTAGAAACTAACAAAATGGGTGCAGATGAAATAGACCTGGTGAGCATGTAACACCAGTCCATGGGACGCCGAGGCAGAAGCAGGGCCATGAACCGAGGCCAGCCTGGGCTGTGGAAGGAGCTCTAAGCCAGCCTGGTTAGCACAGCCGAAACTCTACCTGGAGAGAAGGGGCGGAGGGAGACAAAGGAAAAACAAAAAGAACTAAGTATGCTTAAAATAATCCAAGAATCAAAACCGTGTTGACCGTAGGGACCATTTCTCACAGCTCACGCTGTCAGAGCATCCTATGTTACCTGGAACTCTGAAGCCTCTGCTGGACACTTCGGCCTCATATGATCCAGCAAACTGAAACTGGGGTGCCACTGTTTTTTAAGAACTGAACATGCTTGGTGTTTGCTGAGTAGTTATTGGCCTTATTGGTCCTACTATGAACAATGACAAACACAGTAGGCTTTGTCTACATAAATGCTCCAAAAGCTCAAACCAGACACTTAAATCAAATATCTAAGTCAGAAATTACAAAATGAGAGCTCTAACTGATCCAGACACACTTCAATTGGCCCACGGAGCAACACTTTTAAAAAATCTGATTTCCTATATAAGCTGGGTTTCTGTAAGGAAGTAAGAGAGAAAAGAGCGGATGAACCCAGACTCACAAGTGGAGTGCAGACTGGAGTGAGCAGCACCAACATCACTACTCTAGACAGTGTCTGAGAAGAGCTGCAGCTCAGTCTTGGGCGTCGATACAACTTACGAAGCATCACCAGTAAAGGGAACAGCAGACGAGGTACTGAGTCCAGGGAGCTCCTCTGGAGGCACACTGGACACCTACTTACCACTCTACCTTCAAAGGCCTTCCAATAAAGGTCACTCTCACCGAGATGAGAAAGTGGGGGTCTGAAGTGGTTGAACACCCCAGAAGTGCGAGCTAGGATCTAAAATAAGTTCCATCTGCCTTTAAAGGACCTTACAGGTCTTCCCACCGCCAGTTCTTACTGATTCTACCATAGCAACCATATCTTCACTTGGGACCTTCCAGTCTTCGGTTCATTTAGAAAATAAAACCCTGGTTTTGCACATATTGAAGCAGAGTTCTTCTCATATCCAGTCATCTCATCTATCATAAGCCGTCCCCACAGCCGTCCAATGCTTTAGTACATGAACTATGTGCATTTGTCAACCTAACGTGGGACCAGAGCCCTTGGAGAATGGTGCTGATGATTCAGTTCCTCCGCGACAGTCTCTCTGTGCCAGCTGTGCCGCATCTACAAGGCACATCCAGCTTCATTACAGCACTCTTTCTCCTGGGTTTAGTTACTGGAGCACTCCTCCTATAGCCAGGATTTTAGACACT